ATTGCTCCTAGATAAAAAGTTCTAACTCGCTTATTTAAACTTTTACAAGTTTTAACATATTTTTTAATGAAATGTGCAACATCAATTTTAATGTAACATTTTGGCAAATTAGAGTTTCTAAACGCATCCGCATAATCTTCAATATTGAGATATTCTGTAAATGAACGAACAATTGCGATTAAAAGCGTTCTGGACGAATCGGATACTACTTCTTTAGGCACCGGAACGTAACCACTCTGCCAGCCAAAAATGAATGAAATTAGCATTATGACTCTCATTAATCATTTGGCAAACGGAAAATTGTCCATTTTTGCAGTTAATAACGCAATGATATAGAAACATGTGTTTTGAAATAGAACCATCAGCTTTACATAGGTTTTTTATGACGCTACCGCATCGACAAATATACATGCATCATTTTCGACGAAATATTTTCTGTAAATGTTTAATTGATGATTGGTCCAGTAATAGACAAAAATTGGATCTAGTCCAATGTTGTGGATTACATTGTTCATAGATGTATATTTTAAAATAACTAATGCTTTAAAAGGATCCGCATCTATATAATTTGCTTTTACAGTCTCTGTTTTAGCTGCGCGAAACAGCCGAACTGTATAAATGAGGGGGCTCTGGATCCCCCTCTGCCATCAACGTATCCGCTTTTTCAGCACGATATACATGAACTGCTTTTTGCTGCAATTTCTTGCCGACGATTGTTCTCGTAGGATTTCTCAAGTATCGTTTGCTGCAGTTTCCTTTTCCCTGCGTGTATGTGCAAAATAATTGTAGACAGTTACTAGAACAATCATTATCGTCTATGACACATCTTAGTGTACTGCCACATCTACAAGAACCTGAAAAAAAAAGTCTTAGAATTTACGTAAATTACGTGGATTGAAAACTGTATCATAGAAACATATTTATATGTGCAAATTATGGAAAAAATTTATACATTTTTTTTTTATAAATAGAGCAAAACTACATCATCTTTCATCATTAATCCTTTACGTATGCCTAAGGTAGACGTTTTAACTATAACTGTACGTAAAACTTTGTTGACCGCGCATAATAACAGATAATAGCAGCGTGAATGTAAATTATTGTATAGATATGTGTTAACATGAAGTATATAAACAGCGAAGCTACAGCACGTAACCAAAGGGTTAAGGGGTTATGCCTAGTTAAAAGGGCATGATTTTCGGGGATTTTTATAAGAAAATCAATTTATTTTTTTTTACAACAAAAAGTTGATATCAAAAGTACATATATTGAACAACATACAGAATTTTTTTCGTTGAAAAATATTGCAAATTAAAGAAGTGACGGCCACTCCTGATTTTTCAGAGGTGTCGTGCGGTGACCACGATAACTCCAAGCCAAATCATCTGAAATTAAAAAACCAAAAAGATTCTGTTAATATATGAATATATCTTGTTCGTGAACGAAGGATTTTTTGAAAAAATTAATTTTTGACAAAATGGCGGCCGTGTTTTAAGGAAAAACGCAATTATTCGGGTTCTTAATTTTTCGTTTTTTTTCAATTAAAAAAAAAGTTTTCATTAAAAAACACCTCCTTCGTTCACGAACTCGCACTCCCGAAGCTCGCGGCAATAAAAGAGACACCGCGGTTTTAAGGAAACAAACAATCTCAACGTTTATTAACTCGATACAAAAGAGTGCGGACACACGTTCGAATAGTCCAGCAACTCCAGACAAAATCTGACAGTTGACAATTGATTCGCCGATCAATACATCTCGTCGTCAGGGAACGCGCTTCGGCTTGAAGCTACTCGCGAGCGAAGCAACGGGTGTCTCAGCGCGAAGGCGCAGTGCCGCAACAATATTATATGTATATATATTGTCACGACTTTTTACCCGTTCGGGCGCAAAACCGGATCAAAAGGGAGTTGCGGGAGAGTAGGATGTCAGGCCTCTCCG